GAAGGACCTTGGCTTCCCAACCTGGACTTGGCCTCACTAATCATTCTCGCCGCAGTTTTTTTCTCTTGCACACTTTTTGAACATGGAGGCGCGTTGAACACTGTCTCCATTTTCAATGTAAGAGTTTTTTTAACTGCCATAAGTTTTAGTTTTTTAGTTCACAATTACTTTTTTTTTAACTGCCATAAGTTTAGCTTTTAAGTTCACAATTACCTGCAAAATTGCTAAAATGTTGCCCCAAAAGTACAATTTCTGCTTATTACTAAATGTTGCCCCAAAAGGACAATTTCTGCTAACATTATTACGACTTTCTACAAATGTTGCCCCAAAAGGACAATTTCTGCTGACATTATTACGACTTTCTACGTCTATTTGCCACATATTCTAAATTCTTTTTTGAAATATAAATTACAAATTCCAAATATCCCTCGTATTGTAAGTTTTCATAAGGAATATGCCTATTTCTCACAAAATGCAGGTGCGTTGGAATGCCCTTGCAGCACACACAAATGACACGCACCGAGCCAGCTGACAAGATAGCTGAGGTGCAATTTCTGTAAAATCTCTTCACAGGTCGTGGAAACTTTAGCGGTTAAATTTTAACATGTGGACACAAATACCGGGGGATAATACTGAGGATACAGCCAAAACCGAAATGTTGACACACAGTGCTGTGCATTGATGGTGTGTTTGAGGAATTAAACGGACTGATGAACAAGTTAAGGATTGAAGTTTGTTGTGAGAGTATGAGGGTTTTGGTGTGGTTGAAGAATTGAGCGTCGGGTTTCTATGACTTCTTCTCGATATGTACTACATGACACTTACATTCATGTGGGATCACAGCAGCCCATACGGAAGTCTGGTACAGGTATTGAGGAGCAGGTACTACGTAGCGCATGTAAACGGGCTGCTTTCAGGCTGTCAGACACTGCGACCAATAGCAGTTTGGACATAATCTTGGCATCGAAGCCAGCCGACTGAAAGATTTGAGGTGGCGTAGATACTGGACGCATATGTCACACAACGAATTAATTCATGTGTAGGTCCCCGTTCTGCGTCAGGCATACTGTGGGACACATGCTGGAAGTCAGCAGTTACGACAGACCAGCTGCTGTGTGTATATAGGTCGGAAAACCTTGGGGTCTTTAAAGGTTCAAAGGGGGGATTGAAGTTAGCAGACAATGTCATTAAATTCTCTGTTTGGGAGATAGATTTCGTTATAAATCACTTAGCCGCACATTTTCTTCTACAGGCAGAGCGGGTAGGACATTTGACTACCGATTTTTGTACACGTTACACATTTATCTCTAGAACAGTTTTTAACTCATTATTCTGCCTAGACCTATATATCTAATAGAAGAAAAGCCTAGGCAAAACTCTGGTACGGAAAGTGCCAAATGCTGCTTTTAATTGTTTTCATTTTGAACATTGCAGTGCTCTTCCGGGTACCAAAATACTGTAAAGGATTTGATCGGTACTACTGAAAGCTACCGGACAGTCACTCTCCCCTGAGATTTTTAAATAAAAGGAGGTAACCAGTGCCAGTACCAGGAGTGGAAAACTATTGCTGTTCATGGTGTTTAACCGCAAAACTTAATTCCATGAGCGGCTAAACGGTTGATAAATAAGGCCCTGAAAACCCATTTCACAGGACGGATGGTAGAAGGCCATGCTATGTACAGGGCTCAAAAATATTGTTTTTCATCCTAGATCAGGTCATTTATCGCTTTGCCAGCTACAAAAAGTGCTGCGACTGCATAAAACACTGTGTAATGTCGTTATATAGCAGATGTCGCTTCAAGGTATAGGCCATGGCACGGTCCTCAAACAGGGAGCCTGTTGAAAGCTGCAACAACCCGTGGGTATTCAGAACGGTTGAAACAGGAAACAATCCACAAGACATTATGAAAACTGATCTGAAATCACCTATTGATAAACCATAGTTCTCCATGCCCGACTCTTCTTCCTCAGTGTTAACAGAAAACATCAGAAGATCAATAATTTCGGTGAACTCTGTTAAATTTTATGCATATTATAATGACAGACGTTCAAAGTGGGTTTCGGGCAAAACATTAGGTCCATGGGATGATTTCACGGGGTGCCATAACGCCATCTTTCACGAATTGAATGCGGCATTGTTTGACTTGATTAGAGCGGCTGCTTCATTTCCGGCTTTACGGGAAAGATTGCTTATTTCAGCAGTAAGCTTGTTCAACTCCTCTGCCTGAGACGCCGCCACTGTAAGCAAGCTCGTTATTTCCGCCTTTTCCGTTAGTCCGGCAGGACGTCCTTTGCCCTGAAATGCAAAAAGGCAGTGATGAGCATTAGCTTTAATGTTTGGCACAATCATACTGTCGACACATGGATAAGCAATGTTTCAGTTAGTTGTTGATAAGCCGAATGAACTACTGCAGCGGACTGGTCCCGCCAACGGGTTGACGTAATCTTGTTAAAGCCTCTGTTGATAGGAATATATAATGGGCCGTATAGTAGTAGTAGAGTTGCTTTAATAATTTTCATGGTCTATAGACATCTTTTGTTAACGAATAGGAGTTGTTCTCATAGTTTCTTGGTCTATAGGCTTCATTTGCTAACTAATGGAAGTTGCTCTTACAGCTTTGCTGTACGTACTTGTTCTTTCCACAACCTTTTCACATACATTTAATTTCAATAAAACAACTACAACCGACTTTGATTTACTTCCTACTGCACACTTGTCACGCATTAAACACACGGTATCACGCATTTAACCTTAAACCGAGAATTCCGCAAGACACTTCGGCTCGAAGACTTTTGCCACTTGGTGGCCCTACGATGAATCCCCACTCTTGGATTTTGGTGGACAATTATGACGGGTTCAAGTTAATACATTTATGTTCGATAGCTCTCAATTCCATAACCGCTGCATGACCCATTTGAATAACGTGGGTTTGTTCTCTGCAAAGGTGCAGGATAAGTTGATCATGCTTAAACCGCTTATTAAGCTTCGACCGCTGTTACTATGATCGTTCACGAAAAAATACATTTACTGAATTGGTCTACATAAAATGCAAGACTGCTTAGGCCAAATTGGCAGACTGCCTACCATATTTTTCTGCTGCTTGTCAAGAACACTGTGCAACTTTTGTAGTTCATGGAACAGCAGCACAGTTTTTGAAATGAGTTTGGTGTTTTCTCTCATTTCAGCAATATAACAGTCCCTGGCCTCCCTCAGTTCATCCTCTGCTTTCTCTTCTTCGGCTTTGATGTGTGCCTGCAGGGAAAGCACTCGTGCAGTGATTTCTTCAATCTTCGGATTTATCCTTATTGTCTCCATCTTCTCCAAGTTATCCACACGTCCGAACTTGTCAATCATCATTAAGTCACATTTCTTCATCATATCTTCGATTTCCAACTACAGGCAGCGAAGAAGAGAAATGAAAGTGTGTTTTCAATTGAATAAAGAACTGAATGTGTGCTGATTTGTTATATTTCAGCGACAGATAATTGTGCTCTCAACTACTTTCTTTTCAGATTCTATCCAAAATAATACGCAATATGGTTGTTTACAACTGGCATACACAGTGATGCCCCTGTATTCCAAAAAATAGAGTGTTCCTTCACCGAAAACTAATCAAAACTGAACATTAAGGTTATGAGTTTGCGTCTTTCTAGAAGGTAAAGTGACTAGAAGAAGAGCAGTTTATGCAGAGAGTAAAAATCTTAATTGGTGTTTCTGTCCTTTAACGTGGCCCAATCAAAATCATAATACTATCAAGCAAACTAAGTTGTAAATTAATTTTATAGGGTAGGTCCAGCCAAGCGTTGACATAAAAGAGAATTCTATCTGTTTAATGTCATTTTACATACATTGTTTTGAGTAGGCCCGGAGCGGTCTGGTTGCCCCCATTATGCCCCAGGATTACCAAACAGTGTCATGGCGTCCAGTCGTACGAATCGCGTGCTTTAGACCTACTAATGGAAACTGAAAACAGATCCTGAGTCATCACCCTGAGAATAAACTGTATAGTTGTTGGGTTTCTGGCAAATCATACTGTATTTTTGAAAGCGTAAGGACGCGTAAATTGAGCCCTCATTACGGCATAGTAACGAAGACACTAGCCAAAGATCAAAGGTCAGTATCCATGCGGTGTTGGCAATTGAGAAGTAGGAGACACGATCGCTGCATCCACATCGCCTTCATCTCAATGGCTTCCCGGACCTTGCCTTTTCGAGCGTGTCGACTGTATGTGGAGTGTCATTCAATAAGCAGGATCTTATTCCTTATTTATCAATTTACGTTTCTACAGAAATTATTCCCCGCATATAAACCAACCCTAGATACTAGTCTATTTAATCGTTTATCAGGTAAATTTCTAAAAATCGAACGTGAATGAAGACAAATACACAAGCTGTGCTAATTCACCTGGAATATTTTTTTGTGTTTTTGAAGCATAATATGCTTTGCCTTAGCATCCTTCTTGGCCTTACGCTGACCCTTCTTTTCGTCTTCGAGTTCCTGAATTCTATGACGTAAGTTGTGAATGTTGTCTCTTTCAAATATAAGCGCTGATCCAAAGTCTGATGGCAATCCCTTATCCTGGTAGAAAGTGATTTGGTCCAACCGCAGAATAACCACCCTTTCGAGCACGTTAAGTTTACTCTGTTTCTCAATCTGCAACAGAAAAAGAAAGAGAAATTAAAAATGTTGGCAATGAGCATATGAAACAGACCAACAGTCCATTTATGGTGAATGAGGAAGTTTGTAATATGAAAACAAAGCGAAGGATCGTAAATTCACCTTTAACAAGTATGGACAAAGTTTTTATTTCTTTCCACGAATGAACATAGACTTCCTGAGTGAAGGATGGGAACATAATCTCTTTAGGGCAGAGGTCGGGAAACTTTTTGACTTAGAGAGACAAGAAAGCAAATATTTGAAAATATATTTCAGTTAGAGTCATATGATATACTTTAGTATTGAATTCAGTTAAATTTGAGTATAAGCAGCCTCTGGATTTATTAATTGGAGGAACAAAAATTACAAAATCTGAAGTTTCTAATTGCAATTTTATCTGGGAGAGCCAGGTGCAATCATCAAAAGAGCGTCACCTGGCTCGCGAGCCAT